GACCCCACCACCGCAAGGATCCGCCCTCGACCTCCCACACGCGACCCCCGGCGCACCTCGCAGGGTCTGTGAACAGGGCGCCGAGGAGCGCGCCCACCCAGGAGCACAGCGCAGCACACCGTCAGCTGCTCCCACTGGCGCGCGGAGAGATCGCCGTGGCCCGCGATGCCCGAGCTGCCCCTCTCTGCGAGGCGCGCCCGCGCGCTGGCGGAGATGCGGAAGGCGACCCCCGCCCGCGCGCCCGCCTCGCGTCGCTCTACGTGTACCTCGCAGAGCAGCCGGTTGCTCCACACTGGGTCTATCTGTCAACGGCCCCCCATGGGGTGGGGCAGCGCACGACCTCCTCGACGGGACCTGGGACCTCCGCCCCGGCGGAGGCGAGCTCGATGGCCGAGCGGGGCCCCGCCAGGGGCCGCTGGCGTCGCTCCACGCGCCAACGACAGGCAGGACAAACCAGGTCCGATGATCTGGCGCCCCCGCGATAAAGCCAGCGCGCTCCCTGACGAAGAAACGCTCCTGCACCCAATGGCGATTCCAGCGCCGGGCGTTGGGGCCCGCCAGGTGGGCGCCCTCGCCCACGTCGGCGGAGCACGCTCGCTTTCCTCTCGCTGCGGGAGGGGCCGCCTCTTCAGCCGGGCGAGATGGAACCCCTGCCCGCTGCGGACGAGCCACATCGTACCCGGCGCGTCCGCAAAAGCCACCCCATCAGTCGCCCGCGCCACCGGCGGGCGGGGCACGGTCATGCCAGCGGCCCCAGGGTCAGCCTCCTCTGGGGCGACCCCCCTCGCGCGCGCGCACGGTCCAATCGACCGCCCCCCGCCGTCGGCACCGCCCAAGTCCAGCCTGGAGGCCGGGCTCGCCAGCTGCCACCGCGCGGACCAGGCATCGGCCAGCACTGCACTGCAGCTGCGCGATGCACGTGGGGGCTCCTCCACTGGAGCCCTGCGCCACGCGGCGGCAGGCAACTAGGCCGCACGTTTGTCCGACCCAGGCGGGCCGATACATCTGAACACGATGCGCACAAAGGCAGATGCATGAAGGCGTCGGCCTCGGACACCAGCGCGTTCTCGTCGAGTCGCGCAGCGGACCCCGCCAGGCCCCGATCGCCACAGCCTTCAGGCTGGCGGGGGTGGGCGCCCCGTGCCAGCTGCACCGCCACCTTGCCGGCGAAGCAGGGACGATCCTCGTCCTACGGCTCGCTTTCAAGCTCGGGGGCCAGCGTGCGCGGACCCGCCGTCTCGCTGATAAAGCGCTCCGTCCTCGATCGGCAGCATCAGGCGAGCAGCCCGCCGATGCAGGGTCCACCAGAGCCCCCCCATGGGTGTTGCACCAGCCGACCCGAACAATACATGTAAAAAACTCTGGGCATGCTCCGCTAGATGGACGATCTGCGAGCGGTCGATCGCGGCGCACTGATCCACGCGCACCGGGCGGGCGCAGGCGCAAGGCGACCAGGTTTTGACACCGCTGGCGACAGGTGCAAGTGAGCACCTCGCTCACCCGGACGTTGAGCCCATGCTGGTCCAGGGCGCCAACAGCTGGTGGAGTCACATTTCACCTGGGCCACGTGCATGATCTTCTGCACGCACAGACACATACATATACACACACCACGCGCGCACGCACGCACGCACGCACGCACGCACGCACGCACGAACGCACGCACGCACCCACGCACACACACACACACACACACACACACACACACACACATACACAGATACACAGATACACATACATACACATACATACACACCTCTGGTGGCAGTTCGCATCCTTATCCCCGTCCACGCCGGGCCCTCGCCAGCGAACGCGAAGCGGAGGCGGAGGCGGGGGAGAGCGCGCGGCGGGGCCTGGGGGCGCCCGCCAGCAGCACCGCGCAGGCTGGCCCCAGATCCAGCGGAGGCCTCTCCTAGAAAGGCACCAACTATACACCAACACCGATCCTGGCCCAGGATCACCCTGGGCCCAGGATCGGTGTATACGCCCTCCTGCCTTGCGCAAGAAGGTATATACACCGATCCTGGGCCCAGGGTGATCCTGGGCCAGGATCGGTGTTGGTGTATAGTTGGTGCCCTCCGATCTCCCGCACCACGCGAGAGGAACCGGCACCGTGTTGACGCAGTAGGCCAGGGTAGCGTACAGGAAGGTGATGATGGCCATCGTGATGCAGCACATCGTGGTGCTCCACCAGGGGCGCCCAATTGGAAACTGAGAACGACAGCTTGTGGACCGTCTCCCCGAACCATCCCCCCGTCGGTGGAGAGCGCACAGCTACGACTCGGTGCACTGAACCGTCCCCGGAACCCAGGTGCCCATGCAAGTGCCAGGCCCAGCGCACGTAGCTCCAGCGCCCCCTCTGCCGGGTGGTGGGGCGCACCTTTGGGCACGGCGGTCCCGTCGGCGTTTGGGCCGAAGCTCTCCCCATGGCCCGTCCGACAGCCCACTCCGGAGCCCAGGCGCCCCACCGTGTGGCCCGGCCGTCATCGGCCCCAGAGTCAATGGTCAAGGTGGGGGGCAGCGGCGACGCAGGCCGGACCCGCGCCTCTCCCGCCGCCGGCTAAGAGGGCGGGCGGCCAGGCTCGGCCCCGCCCCAGGCGCCCCACGGAGCTCGGGCCAGCTTGGTGGGCGGGGCTGCTCGCCGCGCACCCCGCCCCCTGCCGCTGGCGCTCGGGGACGCAGGGGGTCCACAGACACGGCCCTGCCCCTCTGCCGGCCCACCCACCCACCCCCCCCCGCTGGGGCCCGGGCCGCGCCTCCCAGAAACGTGGCTTCGGGCAGGGGGGCCAGGGGCGACCCCGAGGAAGTCGCGGAGTCCCCAGGCTCGGCCACCCTCCCGGAGCACGGGAGGCCACACCGCGGTTCGGCCAGCCAGGCCGGCGCACAGCCATAGGATACCGTGGCCGGCCCACATCGCGCGCCCTGCCGGGGGCGCGCGCTTCAGGCCCGCGCGGGCCCACCGAAGCACCGCGCTGGGGCCTCCCAAGGCTGCGAGACCAAGCTGGCGAGCACGATGCTCCCAGCTCTCCCCTAACCTAGTCGAAGATGCACAGACTAAACAGTTGTTCCCATCCGATCGCTTTCGGCCATTCAGAATGATGTTCCCGTCGAAGCGGTGGCCTCATGTGTGGGGCTCTGATCCTTCAAGATCGTGTTCCGGCTGCGGCGCTGGTCTCACTGCCATAGTTTCGGTCCTTCCGACTGGTACTCCCGCTGCGATGGTCTTGCTTCTGCGAAATCGGTCCTTCCGAATGGTGCTCCCGCTGCTGCGATGGCCTCGTTTGCGCAATTTCGGCCATTCCAGTCTACACAGACCTCATCTCCACATTGTTAGTCCTCCACCATGGTTTCTGGCTGCACCTTTCCACGCAGCAATGGTATGCAATGCAATGATATGTCATGTGCCGCTCGTATGAGATGGCACGCCGTTGCTCTGCAACTGTGATATTCAACGCTGGGTTACGAAGTGTCATGCCATGCAGTGGCATACCATGCTATGTTGTGTTAGACACCACTATGCGATGTCATGCCTTGCGATGCAATGCTATGCTATGAACTGCTCGACTACGCAAGGCTACACCATCTTGCGCATCGCGTACCCTTGAGGGATGTTTCCCTCTTCGACATCAGCCCGTGCGAGTAGAGAGGGGCTCTGCGCAATTGTAAGGGATGGGAGGAAGGGGTAAGACGTCAGATATGACCCGAGCGCACCCGGCTAGTCCCCTCCTCCTGATCCTCCTCCTCCTCCTCCTCCTCCTCCTCCTCCTCCTCCTCATCATCATCATCATCATCATCATCATCATCCTCCCCCTCGCTCATCATCCCTTATCCCTTTCCTCCCTCCCTGGAACATCCCCCTCGTCCGGCCTCCTCCTCCTCCTCATCATCATTCTCGCTCCTCCCCTTCTTCTCCCGCTCGCAGCCCTCGCCCGACCACGAGAGGGACGAAGGGGCAAAGCAGGAGGGAACAGGGAGGGGGCGAGGCAGGAGAGAGCACGGAGCACGGAAGAGGCTGAGGGAGGACGGAGAGAGACGCACGAGAGACGAAGGCTGCGGAAGTTAGGTAAGTAGGAAGACCCGAAAGAGGAGGAATGTTCAACGCTGGCAACACGATGTGCAGCATCACGCTTGGGGGATGAGCTTCCCGGCCAGAAAGCTGGCAACGCAAAGTGCACAAGAAGCCAGCCCGCACGCTCGAACTAAACGCCGCCTTCACTTTCAACCCGCTGGCTGCCGGGAGACAGACGGGACGTTCGGAGTGAGCTTGTCAGCCACGAATGTTCGACAGCGCTGGCGACGCGAAGTTCGCTGAAAACATGCGAGCTGGCACGCTCGCAGTGAGCTTCCAGCCGACGACGCTGGCGAGTCTGTGTGTTTCGAAGGCGAGCCACCACGCTTGGAGTAATCTTCCTGGCTAGAGCGCTGGCATCGCGAAGTGCACCAGGATCGGACTGGCACGCTCGCGAGGCTCACGGAGGTGCACGGGACGGGCACTGGCCTGGGGCGCCAGTCGTGAAGAAGCTCTCGGATAAACAATGAGGACCGTCTGGGCAAGCATAGTTGAGGAACTTGACGGGGAGGATAACGGGAAGGTGAGCCGTAGGTGGAGCTCCCTGTGGGAGACACGAATCGTGTGAGGAAGTGCCAAAAGGGGCGGGGGAACGCATGTAGGCGCCCTCAGTGGGGCATTGGGTGGAGCTGATCTGTATGAGGGGGCTGCGGAAAAGGACGTGCGGAGAGCACAGGCAGGAAGAGCAGCAAGAGGAGGAGCCCGCAGAGTGAGGTGAGACGAGTGGCGATGTGGATTCGAAACGAGAACACCACGACACAGGAGGGTTGGAGGAAGGATGAAGAAGCGGAGGTACCGTGGAGAGCGGCTCAATGGATTAAAAACAAGGACCCAGGAACACAGGAGGGTTTGGAAAAATACCAGGTGGGCGACTGAAAAGAGGGAGGAACCGGGAGTGCTGCAAAGCAATCAAAAAGAACCGCAAACCCGCCTTCTCACCGTCGCGAAGCATCTGAAACCAGTGCGCCGCAACCTCGCAGTCGACTGAGAATGCTACGGGAGACTCTGCAAGAGATTCAGATCTCGACAGGGCTATGTAGGATGAATCACGCAATAAACGTGCATGCGCATGCTGGAGAACACGCGGACATATTCGTGTCGTGACGACTCTGGCGTTCGCTTCTGACACCGCGTGGATCCGTTCAACTTTGAAACGTCGGCAACTTCTCGATCGCCAGATCGTTCCGTATTGGCCGGTTATGGGCCACTGGCGGCGTTCAACCTTAAAAATCCGCGCTGGGGTCGCCGCCGCGTCGACACGACACGAAGACCCCCATACATCCGCAGCCGTGCCCTAAGGACGCAACGGGGGTTTCCAAGGCTCATGCAGTTGTGACCAGCAGGAGTAGTTTAGAATCCTTCAGGGCCCCGGCCCCCGATCCCAGGAGGAGGCCCAGGACGAGGAGGAGAGAGAGAAGAAAGAGGAGGAAGATGAGGATTGTCTCGGCTGTCGGATAAGGTACGGGTAAGGTGTTCCCGTTTCGTGCCCCATCAATGGTGAAAGTTTAAGATTAACTCCATTGTCAATGCAACCACTGCCATGCGACCGCTCAACAGTCTAGGCACTGGGAAATGCCAGCCCTGCTGGGTCCCACTTAAGAGGACATACGCTCTTGCCGGTATGCACGACGTTCCCACATGCTGGGTCCCACGTCATGGGACCGAAAGGTTGCGCCCATATGCACGACGATCCCGCATGCTGGGTCTCACGTAGTGGGAACTAACATTGTGCCCGTACGCACGACAGTCCCGCATACTAGGTCCCACTTCATGGGACGTAAGATCGTGCCTGTATGCACGACATTCCAAGTAATTTCAAGTCACTTTAGAAGCAGAATGCGCACCCACTCGTGTTCGCCTGTCTGGCACGTCCTCGTGCTCGCACTTATTCAGTACAAACAGGAAAGTCCCAGCAGGACGGGGAGCTGAGCGAGGATAAAGAGGGAGCACGCACTCATCTCAGACAAAATGGAAAGAGGCACCCATACCGGTTTCGAAGACTCCGCACCAATCCAATTAAGAACACGCCTGTCTTACTACACACATCCTCGCCCGTACCCTCCTCCAGTATCATGTATGACAGCTTGTTGCATCCTGTGGACACTCGCACACACAGGTATGAGCTCGGACTTGCGCGTCGCGCTGGTCTTGCAAGTTCGACGCTGCTTCTCTACATGCGCACTTGCAAAAGGATGGAGGAAGCGAAGAAGAGGAGGCTGAAGAGAGGAGGGAGGGAGGGAGAGGGGTAAGAGCAACGGTGGTTCACTCCCGCTTCGCACACGAAGGCACACCTATGCTTCATGCACGCGGGCAGGAGCTGCTGGTGGGAACCGCCCTATGGGATCGGAAAACCAAATATGCAACCAGCACTGCTTTTCGCGATGTATCCAACGAGCACAAAGGTAACGAAATGCTGCGCCTCGCCCTGCGCGAAGCGCGAAACGCGGTTCCCCTCGCACTCTCCCGCGGCCTCTAAACAAAAAGGCCCAGGCCGCGAGGCGCGAGGCGCGAGTCCCTCTTCGCGCCACGCCGGGTGGCCTGCAGCACCACAGCACCCGCTTCGAAGAAGCGATCACATCACCCCGCTGCTGGCAACGGTTTCCCTTCCCGCACCTACTGCCGTTCCTTCTCATCACGGTCAGCCACGTGGTCCGCCTAATGCGGTTTTCCCCCCTCCAATGTTCATCCTCCTCGTCGTCATCCTCCCCATCGCCCTCCACCCCGTGCTTGGATGCGGAAGCCAGTACGTGACCTGATTGCAGTGCGTTTGGCTCCGATATTGATCGTCGCCACACCCAGGAGCGGACACCAAGGGAGACTGAACGGACGAGGAGGATGTTTCGTTTCTTCTGCCCCTAATCCCCCCTTCCCCCATCGGTTCCCTGAACCTACTCCTGCCCCTCCCCATGCATACATGTACGGGAATGACTTGCGACTCTCGAGGGTACGATTGCGAGGACAACAAAGAAGCAAAACAGCAAGCGCGTGGCCTCCTCCCTCGAGTGGTAGACACATGGCATGCATAGATCTACCCTAGTCTAGCAACATCCGCTGCCACTCCAACACATCCCCAGGTGAAACCTGAGTGCGCGGATGCGGAGCGCCAGGCGAATATGAATGCGTCGATGAAAAACGAAGATCGCAAGCCAAGCGACTGTATGACTCAAGGGGGACACCTGCCACCCACTTTGGGAGGAGCACTACCAGCCCGCATCAGACTGGCACTCAGGGAAACAGAAAGGAGGACACGCATGCAACAGGGCGATGCATGCAAAGCGCGAGAAAAGGAGGGCGACGCTTCTCCACCATGGCAACGATGCCGCCGACAGGTTTTCCGCCTCATCATCCACATCCTCATCCTGCTCCTCCTTCCGACTCATCCGCATCTTTGCATCATCCCGTCGTCGCCCTTCTCCCTCCAGCCCCTCATCGTCCTCTTCCTTGTTGAAAAAAAGAGCGGGCGCATGGATCAACGCAGGGTAGATCGAGAGGACAGAAGAGCTAGTTGCGCTCGTGCCAAGCCTGACATCTGAACCCGACCGCCAATACCTTTCACAAATCGAACAGTGCCGTGCAAGAGACGGGCATGAGAGAACAGAATAATGAGCAGAACGAGGCTCAAAGAAGAGGGAGGACGAGGAGGTTTAGGAGGACTAGAAAAGATAATGATAAAAGGAAACATACGAATGAGAGATGGACTGAGAAGGAGCAGGCGGAAAAGGAGCGAGAAGGGCGAAGGGGAGGGCAAGGAGCACGGGCCCGCACATAAGGAGGACTTGTCCGAAGGAAGGGAACGACTACGAGGCCGACGGGGGAAAAGGGAGAGGGGCGGAGGATGATCGGGACCGGGGGAAGGAAGAGGAGCAAGCATGGAAAATCTGCGAAACAAACTAGCCTGGCGAGCTGGCTGGAGACAGCAGCTTAATGTAAGTGTCGGACCTCGATGTGCACGATCCGTGTGAGGGATGAACCAAAATGGGTGGGGAATGGGTGGGGAGAACGCATGCAAGTTTTCCCACTGAGGTCGCAGGTGACCCCCCAAAAGGGCGCGAAACATGTGGGCGGCGCGGCGAAATCGCATGCAAAATGTTACTTTGGGGCGATGGTGAGGCTCGCGTAAGGGGCGTGCCAAAACGAACAACAGTACGCATGCAAATCGTCCCACCGAGGCCCCAAGTGGAGCTCCCCATGAGGGCGCGGTTCTCGTGAGGGGTGCGCTCAGGTGGGCGGCGCCGCCGCGCGGACCTTGCCACTGGGGCCGTAGGCGGGGCCTGTATGGGGCAACGATCCTCGTGAGGGGTGCACCGAAATGGGCGGCGCCGCCATGCGGACCCTGCCACTGGGGCCATTAGTGGAACCCCCATATGGGGCCACGATCCTCAAGATGGGGGCGCCGACACGGACGGCGCCGACACGCGGACTCTACCACTGCGCCTGCATGCGGAGTTCCCCGTAGGGCCGCGATCCCTGTCAGGAGCGCGTCGAACTTGGGGCGGTGGCGCCACGCGACGGCGCCGAACGAGACCGCAGGTAGGTGGACCTCCCTGCTATGGGGCGCATGTATCCTGAGGGTGAGCCGAAACTGGGGCGGTGGCGCCATGCGTCGGGGGCCACCCTGACCGCAGGCGGAACTCCCTACGGGGCACGAAACATGTGAGGGGCACGTCAAAGCGGGGGTGGTCCCGCCATGCGTCGGCGCCCACTGAAACCGCACGTGAGACTCACAATGGCGCCGCGAAACATACGGGGGCGTGCCGACATGGACGCAGCGCCTGCGTTTCGAATCGTGTGAGGGGTGCGCCGACATGGGCGCGGTGCTGCCATGCGTCGAAACCGACGGATGCCGCATACGTAGCTGCCTCACGAAACGTGGGAGTGGTGTGCCGATATGGACGCAATGCCGCCATACGGGCGCCCTCACTGGGACCGTAGATGGAGCTCCTTATGTGGCCCTGGTCATCGTGACCGGTGTCCGAAAAAAAGTTGGTGCCATGCGGATGCGGGCGCCCTCACTGGGGCCATGGGTGGAGCCCATGGGACCACGAAACGCGTGAGCGGTGTGCCAAGATAGAGCGGAGGTGCAGCGCGGGCGCCATCACTCGGACCGTAGGTGGATCCCTCTATGAGGCCACGAAACGTGCAACGGGAGTGCCGAAGCAGGTGCGGTGCCGCCACACGGGCGCCCTCACTTGGACCATGGGCGGAGCCACGTGGCCACAAACGTGCAGGGGCGTGCCGAAACTGAGGCGGTGGCGCCATACGGGCGCCCTCTCTTGGGCCACGAGACGTGAGGGCGCGCCAAAAGGGAGGCGGCGGCCCCATACGGGCGCCCACGCTCGGGCCCCACGAAGCGCGCGAGGACCGTGCCGACATGGGAGCGGTGGCGGCGCACGGGTGTCCTCACTTGAACCGTGGGCGAGGTTCGCCACGCGGCCACGAGACGTGAAAGGGGCGCGCCGACATGGAATGGGCGCGCCGCCGCGCTGCGGGGGCCCTCACCTGGGCCGCCGGCGGAGCTCCCTATGAGGCCACGAAACGTGCGAGAGCCGTCCCGACATGGGCGCAGCGCCGCCACGCGGGCGCCCTCATCGGGGCCGCACGCGGGACATCCCTGGGGCCGCGAGGCGCGACGCGGGCAAGGTCTGTCGGAACGGTGGCGGCGGGGCCACGTGGGCGCCCTCGCTGGGGCCGCGAGTCGAACACCCCCGCGGGGCCACGAGACGCGCACGACCCCGCCGAACTGAGCGCGCAGGGAGCAGCGGCACAAGGACGAGGGGGAGGCGAGAGCGCGAGGCGCGGCGCACACACACTCCCGAGCGGAGCGGAGGCCCCGCGGCGCGACCGGGCGCGAGGGAGACGGTGACCGCCCGGGGCGCGCCGCCGCCAGGCGCGCGCGCGTGGCGACCACGACGGGCTGGTCGGGCGGGCGGGACATCTCTGCGGGCCCGGACGGGCGGTCGGGCGGGCGGGCCCCATGACGGGGAACGCGAGATTGCCGCGCCCGCATGCAATTCATGTATATCGTAAGGAAGTTCTACGAGTTCCCGGCGGTAACCAAGGTTGACGGTTTACCGCCGGCTCCCAGTTGACGAAACAATTTTTATTCTGAAAATTGCATCCCGACGGCGACGGTTCTGCCAGTAATTTGATAGTGATACTGCAGCTACGGACCTGAGGATTTCACAGGCAGACGCGGCATAACCTGCTGAATCCGAAAAGTGCGAATCAGAGTTGTGTAGCTTGCTTGCTGCGTGAGTTCAGTTCACGAAGTCATGATCATCTGGAAAAATGCATCCCGACGGCCGACGGTCCAGACAAGTGATTTGATAGTAATGCTGCAGCTACGGACCTGAGAATTTCACAGGCAGACGCGGCATAACCCACCACAGGTGCGAAAAATACTGGTTCCCGACACGAGTAGTCAAATCTCTCACCATGATCGCCCTACCGACCCAAACCTCACACATTGTCCGCCCGGGCCGGATAAGCCAACTAGCTCCACCCCGCGCCGGAATTCATCTAGCTCATCGATGCGGAAGAGCTCTACGAGGTACTCAGCTTAGAAACTTGCAACAAGTATGTTTTGGGCTTTGTGCGACTGGAAGCCGGCGGTAAACCGTCAGGGGAACCGATTTCGTATAACCCCCCGCCCAAAAAAAATAACCTGGCGAAGGACCCAACCATATGCAGCTGCGAGTACCGCAAGGATACCAGTGCCAAGCTCCCCCCGACCTTCTGTGGAGATCCCTATGGGGCCACGAAACGTGTGAGGGGTGTGCCGAAATGGGTGTTGGGGAGTGCCGAAATGGGTGATGGGGAGGCATGCGAACCCTGCCACTGGGGCCTTCGGTGGAGCTCCCTATGGGGCCACGAAACGTGTGAGGGGTGTGCCGAAATGGGTGGTGGGGAGGCATGCGAACGCAGCCACTGGGGCCTTCGGTGGAGCTCCCTATGGGGCCACGAAACGTGTGAGGGGTGTGCCGAAATGGGTGGTGGGGAGGCATGCGAACCCTGCCACTGGGGCCTTCGGTGGAGCTCCCTATGGGGCCACAAAACGCCCAGGCATACGAACCCTGCCACTGGGGCCTTCGGTGGAGCTCCATGTGCCACGAAACGTGTGAGGGGTGTGCCGAAATGGGTGGTGGGGAGGCATGCGAACGCAGCCACTGGGGCCTTCGGTGGAGCTCCCTATGGGGCCACGAAACGTGTGAGGGGTGTGCCGAAATGGGTGGTGGGGAGGCATGCGAACGCAGCCACTGGGGCCTTCGGTGGAGCTCCCTATGGGGCCACGAAACGTGTGAGGGGTGTGCCGAAATGGGTGGTGGGGAGGCATGCGAACGCAGCCACTGGGGCCTTCGGTGGAGCTCCCTATGGGGCCACGAAACGTGTGAGGGGTGTGCCGAAATGGGTGGTGGGGAGGCATGCGAACGCAGCCACTGGGGCCTTCGGTGGAGCTCCCTATGGGGCCACGAAACGTGTGAGGGGTGTGCCGAAATGGGTGGTGGGGAGGCATGCGAACGCAGCCACTGGGGCCTTCGGTGGAGCTCCCTATGGGGCCACGAAACGTGTGAGGGGTGTGCCGAAATGGGTGGTGGGGAGGCATGCGAACGCAGCCACTGGGGCCTTCGGTGGAGCTCCCTATGGGGCCACGAAACGTGTGAGGGGTGTGCCGAAATGGGTGGTGGGGAGGCATGCGAACGCAGCCACTGGGGCCTTCGGTGGAGCTCCCTATGGGGCCACGAAACGTGTGAGGGGTGTGCCGAAATGGGTGGTGGGGAGGCATGCGAACGCAGCCACTGGGGCCTTCGGTGGAGCTCCCTATGGGGCCACGAAACGTGTGAGGGGTGTGCCGAAATGGGTGGGGGAGGCATGCGAACGCAGCCACTGGGGCCTTCGGTGGAGCTCCCTATGGGGCCACGAAACGTGTGAGGGGTGTGCCGAGGGTGGTGGGGAGGCATGCGAACGCAGCCACTGGGGCCTTCGGTGGAGCTCCCTATGGGGCCACGAAACGTGTGAGGGGTGTGCCGAAATGGGTGGTGGGGAGGCATGCGAACGCAGCCACTGGGGCCTTCGGTGGAGCTCC